ATGCCTTGTCCATGTTCTTGCTTGTAGGGAAAAGGCTTTCTGATGCTTTGGGCATCCAGGCCGAAGGCAAGTGGTTCTGCTCCATGCTTGGCTGGCCTCAACCTTTGCATAAAACTGCCATGGGATGCCAACCTCAGGGCTCTGACAACACTGCTGTATTCTTCCTAGGTGGGCAGGCCCTTTTTCCACATTTCACGGGCCTTTTTCTTTCCTTTCAGTTTATCCATGAATTCCTTGCTCGTCCATACAGGCTACCATTTCCTGATTTCTTATTCCTAGGCGTTCACCGATGTTGCACATGGAAGAAGCAATGTTTAAGAGCCAACCAGCTCTCATGGGCCCCCTTACCTTCTAACACTCCACCCCATGGGATTTTCCCCTGTTAACTCCTAGAGCTAAAAATACCTTCTGTGATAAATGGCCCAATATCCATTAATAGTTCCAGTAGCAAAACCTGAAGCTTACTAACCAATACCTTTTGCTAAAAATAAGCAGGCTCTGTTACCAGTTTACTGGGAAAGTGAGTAAAGAAAGCCCTGAAAGATCATCCCCTTGGCCTCAATATATCTTCTGGGAAGAACTTGCTAAAAACCACAAACTAAGGTTGCAGAAGGGGAAACATTAACCAGGCCTGGTGATTTATTTGTCTTTCAGGAGTCAACATTATGGCTTTTTTCTTTTTGCTTTTTTTTTTTTTTTTTTCTCTACTGCAGATTCTTTATTTTAATAGGATTATTAAGCACTGACTTTTAAGCAGACCCAATTGGTGTTTCAGAATACTGGGGAGGGGGGAAAAAACCCACAAGAGAATAGAAGTTGATGATGCCTCACTCTTCCATGTCACAGCCAAGGAGTTGCTGAGTGCTGGTACTGCCACTCACAGCAGTGGGAGACATTTCAAGAAGAGCTGGGTGTTCGGTACAGCTATAGTGTAAACTCACTCAAAGAATATGGGGCACTTGATGAGGAGACAAAGAAGAGATCTTTCCCATCAGGATTAATAGAGAGAGACTGGCTTCGCTTACTACAGCTCATTATAGAAAATTAGCGATGACAAATAACGTATGGCTGTGAGAGGCAGTGTGCTCTTTTCACCTTTTCCTTCTCGTTTAATGAAAATAAGCTGCAATAGATTGATCAAATGCCAGTACTCTGAGCCAAGATAGTCAGTGTCTGATGGGTACTGAGCTGGTTGGTTTTCTTTGTTTTGTCTGCCTTTGCAGAGGACTGTAGCTCAAACAACAGTTGAGGTGGTCTCTGAATTACTCCCTAGAGACTGATGATCTAAGGAGAATGATTTTGTGAATGAGACACCAGATGCCCTTCTCTTGGGCATGAGAGAACTCTCTTGCAAAAGCAGAGCTCTGGATCCAGGTCTCTGGAGTTTATTTATACAGTGCTATTAATACTGATTGTGTTGCATGGATTTAGTGCAAGAACAAGCTTCTAAGAGAGAGGTGGGAAGAATAAGAAGGGCATTTTTGCCCTCTCTTCAGTCTGTAAACAGTTACTGTCTTTTTTTTCCTTCCTACTACTTGTTATTTGGGTTTGTTTCCATGTATGGTTGCTTTTCTGCCATAGAGAAACTGGCAGTCCTTCCTCTTCCTCTGAATTGGTGGCCAGTTGATGGACTGGGTGTGAATGTTACATCTATAACCCTGATCCTACTTGGACCCTTGGGACAAGGGTGTCCTCACCTCTGGCCAAGAAGCGGGCACATTGGTCAGTGTCCCTTTATCTGTCCCTGCCTAGCCTAGCTCTGAACTGTTCTGTAATAGCTTTAGTTTTGGTATCACAGGAAAGATTGACAACAAGCCCTTCCTTAACATTCAGGGAAATAAGGTTTTCCAGCTTGCAGCCACTCAGTTGCCCTATCCTTTAGCTTCACTTCTGCAGCTAAAACAGTACTTATTAAAGCATTTATACCATCTGTATTTTGCTGTTGCTTTTTCATTTTTATTATTTTATAGCCATTAAGGAAAATGCTTATGTTTAAGGCAGAGTACTGTGACCCTTCTTCAGTGACATATGTACAGTGCAGGCTTCAGGAAGCTCAGTTGTGGTGGTTTCATCAAGCATGCTACATCTAGGTTGTGGGAGGACTTTTTTTCACATCTTCTGGAAAAAAGATATCCCAAGCTTTAACTTCCAGAGTTTCTTGCTTCAATGGCCATTTCTTGCAAGAAATACCTTGTCTTCTCTTTGTGGAGCATTCTGCTAGATGAAACAGCCAGTAGACACTGGGAAGCCTTCCCTGAACATGAGTGGGTCACATCTTGGCATTTAGCAGGCTAAGTTATTCATACTGAGCTCTGTTAGTCTCTTGTATTAAGAGAGTTTTCCTAGCTTCCAGTCAATCTTGTACCTCCTTTCCTGAAACCACATCTGCTTTTACACTGTGGGGACAACAGAACTGGCAGTGCTCATAAAGTCCACCAGGCAGAGTGTGCAAGTGGCAATGCCATGTTCCTTGGGAAGTTATGGGTGTCCATTTAGCTGCTGCTGTAAGAATTCCTGCTGCTGAAAACTCCTGCAGCATAGGAAAGTAAAGAAGAAGCTGTGATAGGTGTGTGCTGACAAGGGCCTGGCTCCAGGTTTGCCTATGAGTCCTGCACTAGGGCTGCTTGTACTGGGAAGCCTGAGTGTGGACACAAAGCTGTCTTAGGGGCAAACCAATACACTCAAAGTTTGTGTCTACTTGACAGACAGACCAGAGGCGTGCACTTTGGCATTTTGCAGTCTCTTTGTTGGAAAAATAATAGATGTGACTTTTTTTTTTCCCCTTGTAAATTGGGTTGTCACTGTGGAAAGGCTTTTTAATTTTCCATTTCTACAGTGAGATCTATCATGCATCTTTTAGCTGCCACTCTGATTATTTTCCTATTATCTCTCTTTTTTTCCACTTAGTATTCCTGTATTGCAGCTTATTATTATAAACTATTTGTTCAACTTTGCAGGCTATTATAAGAACAAATAGCCCAGTGATGTATTGATTTTTACCTGTGTCTTTGACAATGCCCCAACACCCCCTTCCTTAAGATGCTATTCAACAAGGAGAGAGGGACTGAACGCCATGCATGCTAAGAAGACAGACAGTTCTTTACTCACCCAACCTCATATGCTCTTTTCCCGGGTGTCATACTTGAGACTTCATCAGAAATTTAAGAGAAATGCTTTCCTGCTGGTTTGTCTGCTCTTCAGGTTCAGAAAGAATCTCTTGCATCCATAGGGTTTTTTTGGTTTTTTTTTTTGTTTTGTTTTGTTTTAAATGCCTCTCCAGAAACTTGTATTATCCTCTTTAATAGTGCAGAAAAATATTCGCATGTACATAATATTTTAGAGCTTCTTTGTAGCATATGTTAATCTCTGAGACTAAAAAAATCTCTTGGTTCCAGTCTCATTTTTAATAGGATAGTAAGCTAAAAGGATACATGAGGATTATTCTAATCTCACCCTGGAGTTCCCTCCAGCTCTGCTGCCTATCTGGGAGCCGTTATTTAACTTCCTTCTTGAGTGCTCTAGAAAAAGTGTGCTTATCTTGATTTAACAAGTATCATAGCAAAAGGAAAAGACTGAATGTTAGGCTTTAGAAAGAACAGATTAGCTAATTGAGTGAGGAAAAACATTAGGCTGGAGCTAAAGATCTCTTGGGGATGCCTGTCCCCTTTGCATCATCCTTCTTTCTGCCCTTGGGTATTTTTGTGTGTGTGGGTGTCAAACAAAGCTCAGTCTTCCTCCTCTAATGCAAATGCACTTTTGTGGCTGCGGTGAGCTGATGCTTCTTCCTGCAGTTTTCCGTGCTGGAGTGGAGGTTTCTGTGCACAAAGCTTTGTATACTCCTCAAACCTCTTGAGGGCTAGAATCTTAGTTGGGGAGAGCATGTGTGCCAGGCAGAAAAAAAGGCATGTTAGCAGATAGTGAAAGACTAGTGTCTACCTAGAGGTGACAGCATCCTAGCATGTATGTATGAAACTACTGATGGAGAGGCCTCAAATTGTTGGATATTAGGAAAGACTTTCTCTCTAAAGAGTCACGAGGCATTGGCACAGGCTGCCCAGGGAGGTAGTGGAGTCACTGTCTCTGAAGGTGTTCAAGAAACATGGAGACGTGTTACTTACTTAAGGACATAGTTCAGTGAGAAATACTATGGTAGGTGGACAATTGGAGATGATGATCTTAAGGGTCTTTTCCAACCTTAATGTTCTGTGATAGTTTTGTAGCAGATGTAGACATACATCCCTACATACATATATGTATATATGGACATACATACCCAGCCCTTCTCCAGGGGTGAGGGACACAGGTAGGCTGATGCAATCCAGGGTTCAGGCACAGGTTTCACCTGTCTGTGTAGCTCACCAGATATTTCCCTCCCCTTCACATTGGAAATAGCTACCTTTTGCTGTGTGACTCTAACTTTGAATGTTTTTTTAGACTGTTTCCAAAAGGCATCACAGAATTTGGCAACCCTGTCCAGGGCAAGGGGTTGGAACTAGGTGATCTTTAAGATCCCTTCCACCCCAAGCTATTCTATGATTCTGTGATGATTCTATGAATTTCTCAAGCATAGGTCTCACTATTGTCAAAGCATAATAATAGTCATGCATATTTTCTCCTTTCCTCTCCTCCTTGTCCTTCTCTCTCCAGGGTGAAATCTGTGAATGCTTGTGCACTATAAGGAATCCAGGCAGACATTTGGTTAGTTAAAATAATATTTCTCTTTATTTGAAAGTTTTCTATCCACTGCTAAAAGGCAGCTGATAAGTTGCATAGTACACCTTCTTTGTTTTTTCAATTATGCTTATTATTCAGTATATCTGAGAAGGAATGGAGGAATGGTTACTGGCTCTTAACTTCCCACAACAAACGGTGAAGTTAATGGAATAATAAATTAAAGTAGTAGTAGTCCACATTATAAAATAAACGTTAATACATACAAATATGATAAGAATGATTGATTTGGTTTTCCTCCTTCGTTTTTTTTTTTTTTTTTTCTTAAGTGAAGGAGCGGGAATGTCTACAAAAGATTGTACTAGTGAGAACATGAATACAGTTGTTCTGTCCCTGTGAGGGTTACAGTCCCTATTGCTGCTGCTGCTGCTGCTGCCAGGAGGTAAGTTTCACATCTCAGCTGTGGCTGACCTTGGCTTTCAGGCACTCAGAGGTGTAAAGGACAAAGAGCTCCACACACCCCTCAGCATGAGAGAGAGATGAGCAGCGCAGTCTTAGTGCACTGCATATCTGTGCTATCGTTGCAGTGGGCTTAGGGCTTATAGCCCTGTAACTGCTCACTGCTGGACGTTTATGGTGTCAACCCATAAGCAGCCTTAATACCACAATAGGAGAGGTCTTCTGTT